GGCAACCACGCTTCACACAACAACTCATCCTCCATGGTCGAGAACCAGTCCGCGGAACCGGATGCGGGTCGTAGGACGCAATGTGCTTTCACATGTGAAATGATTCATGCACTTGTTGCCAGAAGGTCCTCCTTTGCTCTGGCCTACAAAACCCGCAGATACGGCCAACCACGCGTTGCACAACAACTCATCCTTCATGGTCGAGAACCCCGCCATCCTTCGTACTCTGAAAAATGACATGGCGTTCAAAAATAAGCTCAATGGCATTTGACCGAACACCTATTGGGCGTGGTGACCGCCATGGACGACATCGACAGGGGGGCAGAGTGTACCTGCCTACAGATGTGTTCTGGGTGGACTACACCGTCATAAAAGGCGAGTGAGCGCGTCAGTGCTGGTTGCGGAGGTCCCACAATGCCTGCTGGGGAGGTACAACGACATCGTCGAAGGAGGAGGGTGCAGAGTCAAAGCAAGGGGAAGAAGGGACGGATTGGAAGACAATGGAACCGGGAGGGGGGACTGGGAGGGGGACGTCGGAGTCCTACGTGGCCGCTGTCTGGACTCCGGCAAAGCTCCTTAAGTTTATCTCTATTTTGAGGGGGCAAATGCGTCTCGACCGCTCGACGGACCTATACAGGCCCATGTTAGATGGTACAACACGTCTAGACCGCGCGATTCGGATGTATAGAGACGGTTTGAGGCTTTACGTGGAGTATAATTTTTCCATGCTACAAAACCTTGTGCGCCAAAGTTCATGGACCCAATGACCGCACAGATCCAGACTTGGTCTCGAATTTAAAGGGAAGCAATCCGAAAGTAGAAAATCAGCCAATTACCGCTCAGTAGGCACGATGCCTTCCTCGAGAGGGCGCCAGGTGGCATCAGGATAGGGTGGCCTCACTCACCACGTCAGCCCCGCGGATGGCCCCGCTGCCCAGCGACGCGGAACTTAAACAAGCACGATAACAAATACTAGCAGAGAGAGAGAGAGAGAGAGAGAGAGAGAGAGAGAGAGAGCAGAGCAGATCTGGCAGAGTAGCAGAGCAATGGCGTCGTCCGACATGGACGTGAGCTTGGATTTCTCTTGGGAGGCCCTGGTGCTCGAGCTCGGCGACGCAGATAGGTGAGCCCCCGCAGCATGCACGAGCTGTGATTGTTCCGTCTTTCGTGCATAGTGAGCAACACTTGGAGTTGGATGGATTGTTGCAGCATGCACCTGCCGGCCGAGGACTCTCTCTCCGGCCTCTACGACGACTCGACGAGCTCGCCGGACGGCGCCACCTCGCGGTCGACCAAGGCAAGCAGCTTGGAGAGGAAGAACATAATCAACGAGAGGCACCGGCGCAGGATGCTCAACGAGAAGCTCTACGCCCTTCGCCGTGTCGTTCCAAACATCACCAAGGTTTCATTTACAGATCGTCAGCGCGCGAGGAGCACGTTCGTGTGTATGCTGCATGAGGTTTAATTTGATCTTGTTTGTGCTCCGGGCGTTAGATGGACAAGGCGTCCATCATCCAGGACGCCATCGCCTACATCGAGGAGCTGCAGGAGCAGGAGCGCCAGATCCTGGCCGCCCTCAGAACCGACAGCTGCACCGCCGTGGTCAAGGCGGACGACGCCGCCTCGACCGGCAGCAACGCGGAGGACCATGGCGTCGGCTCCTCGCCGCGGAAGAAGATGAGGAGGACCACCTCTGCCTCCTCCATTAACGGCGCCTTCTCTTCTCCTAACCCGCATCCGGTTCAAATCCTCGAGGTAATCATTCACATGTGGCATGTTGCTCGGTGTTGATACCAGAGTGAAAGGATTTTTTTTTGTGGGTAGTGAAAGGAAGTTAGGCCAGAATGAAGTGAGGAGGTGAACCTCACCGGTGAAAAATAAGAGTATTCCCGGCATCGGCATTTACTAATGCACACAACTATTTCATCCAACTGATAATAAAATTACATAACTCATTCGCAAATTATGTTACTTTGGACTACCATCCAAACCGATTGAACTGAGCTACCGTCTCTACCAAAAGCCATAGGCGGTCGTGCTCCCACATGTTGTAGGGAACAGGACATGCATATGGATCTTGCTGGTAGCTAACTTGCAGTAAAACGTTTATCCTGTTAAAAATGCAACCATTTCGGCATTTCGAACCGCCCACACTAAAGAACATGCTCTTGCTGGGATTTGGGCCTTAAGCCTAGGTTGAACCCATGTCAATATACTTTTTTTTAGCATAGTTCGTTATACTTGTCGGTGGGGACAAATAAGCTACATGGAGAGTACACTAGTGCAGTGTGGCAAATAACCATGATAGAAATAAGTGGTGAATTGTTTTCTCCTTACAGAAGCAACACAGCTTTGTCCAAGTATCGCATAAAAAACTTTTCAACGGGGACTTGATTTCCAAATGTATCTATTGCGGAAAGTGTGTAGTTTAAAGGAAAAGACACCTGAAGTGTGTAGGCGGGGTGACACACACACCTAGAAGAAGATGAGGAGTGGAGGACTACCTCCGCCTCATCCATAAATTGTGCCTTCGATCTGTTCGCCTGCCATGTATCAGGTCCAAATCATCGACCTAAATATTCACATGTTTCTAACTTCAGACCGAAGAATGCTAGGGACCAGAATGAAGTGAGCGTGATAGGTGGACCTGCAGCTAGCAAAATGGGGAAACAATGGTACAGCTGAAATTGAACTGTTTTAGGTGTTGTCTTAAATGTTTAAAAGGTCTTATAAAAGTGAACGGAGGGAGTACTAGTAATTAGAAAAGCTGAGATCCGTAGCGTTGTGGAAGTTGTTATTGCTCGGACGACCACACAAGTTTTCCCCGAAAAGGTGGGAATATTTCCTGCATTTATTTTGTAGAAGTTACATCATTCAAAATATCATACAAAGACAGAGAAAGTGTCAACAAAACCACCTGCTAATAACATTACATGACTCACAAATCATGTTATTGCTGGATTGTCATCCAAATGGGTTGAACTTTGCCTGAGCTGCCATTTCCAGTTATATGTATCGAAAGCCAAGGGCGCTCCTGCCTTTACTCGCTGCAAGGAACATTTATATGTTCAGTCGAGTTGTCCAAGTGCCACCTAAAAATCTTGATTTTTTATGGCATTCTAGTTTCCAAATGCATTGGTTGCTGAAAGCATAACCAATATTAATGAGATCCCGTCGATATTTAATAGAAATAACGGAAAAGACACCCGAAGTGTGTATCTTCCAATGGTACTCAGTAGTTGGAAGGGCATTTTCTTGTATTATAGGGTTTCTCTTCTGGAATTGGTAAATCTAGTGAGATATGCACCAATAGGGTGCTGGCAGCTAGCTACTGGTGAGATATGCACCAATAGGGTGCTGCCAACTAGCTTTATATGGGCCAGGGTATCTAGTGTATTCCACTTCTTTACTAAGCTTTTCCACCTTCTGTTTCTGGCCAGGCCCACCATGTGGTACGTACTAAACCGATGTAGCATAATCCCGCACATGCATCA